TTAGGAATGCTTAGGCTAAGGTGGAATTTTCTGCACTTCCGGTCCACAACTTGGATTGTGGGCTACACTTGGCCGTGCGGTCGTCTGCAAATCAAGCATTGGGCCAAGGCGTACATGAAGGCGAAGGGGTCTAGCTGTATCAGCTTGGACAACACTCTAACTCAGCTGACTTCTTGAAAAGCTAAAGCCTCACTCAAAAAGGCTAGCATCCTTTTGGCCTCCTGTGAGCAGGGGATCAAGGACGGGAACCCCTAAGTGCCACTATAGTTGCCCAAATAGTACTCTCTTTTCTTCTTTGATGAGAGGAGGCCAGCGGATGGTTGACACTGGTCGCTGAGGCTCTGCTGCTGGCGAATTGAATGACCTACTGCACGTCTTTGTGCAAAAGGGAGCAGACTCTCTGTGCCTAATAGGCTTTGGTGGCACCAGGAAAACGCCCGTGCCTTTTTGATTTGAAGTGCTTCTTTCTTGACCCATTTTCTTGCATGGGACGCGGACCTCTCCCTAGCCTAGAGCCACCTTCATCATTCCACAGTTCTCTGAGCTCTGAACCCCTTTAGTGCGGAGGAGGTTTGTCGAATCGCTGAAGCTCATATTGCCCTCCCCAAATCCAAAGTTCAGCTATCAGGACTGCCGACTGAATCTAGAACTACTTTTACAGCATGCATAACAGAACTTGGGGGGGTGCAGTTTTTCGGGCTTGGATACGCAGACCCTATGTGTAATTCCCACTGCCCACCCCTTCCACAACAAAAGCTTCGGCTACAGCAGCGTTACTGGCGGCTGATGGCGGCTGTACGGTACGAGCGGCGGCTCGATACTGCTTCTGCAAGACTGCACTGGCCCACCCAAGGATTGAGCGTATGACAACAAAGCTGATGATGACAAGAAGTAGAAACAAGTAGCAACAGCAATCAATCACTGTTGCGGGTACCGGAACCTGCCCGAAACCTAGCATACTGCTGCGATTAGGAATGCTTAGGCTAAGGTGGACTTTTCTGCACTTTCGGTCCACAACTTGGATTGTGAGCTAAATTGTCTCTCAGCCTTGGAACCCCAGGACCTATGAGGTGCCTGGGCCTCTGGGGATCACTTGGACCTAGAGGCTGATCCGGCATACCAAAGCGGGAGTGTTGTCGTTGCTGGCACCAAAAGCTTTATTCCGTCGCACCTGCTGAATCAGCTGACGGACATGCTCTGGCGATGAATGAGGGAAAAGATTGACCACGCTTATGAGAGGCATGAGCGTTAATGCGCCATGCATGCCGTCCAGTTCTTCTGATGTCAGGCCAAGCTGGATGTCAAACGGTTGGTCCCGCTGTCTCCGCTGCCACTCCAACTGCAGGCACTGAAGCAGCGGAAGTGCCTCTGCCGGGAAATCCAGCTGTGCTGAGCGGTTGTTGAGATGGCAAAGGATGATGAACATGCGTTCCTCGCGAGAGAGGTTTGCAAATCGCTTTCGCAGCTTGCTCTGCATCTTGTACGGGCTAGCCTGGGTCTTGGCTGAAACAGCTGCAAAATTATGCTTCTTGTTCTGTGTTGAATGCATTATAAGACACTGTATCACAGTCAGAAGAGAAGTTCAGGTAATCTCTAAGAAGATGTAACAGGTTCCTCAACAAGGGCAGGATGCCTCATGCGCCGCATGGCAAAAGCCACACTCAAAACCCAGGTTGCAATGCCCTCGGTGGAAGACATACACGCAGGGGCGGCTGCACAAGTCTGGGTGTCCCCAGCTTGCGGGATGGGCACAAATTTCCAGACTAGGCAGCTCGAAGAAGTTCAATCTGTCCATGGCTGCGTCCACAAACGAAACCTTGACCACAAAAAGAGCTGGAACCGACGGCCCACAGTTGACAAACAACTTCAGCAAGGCATGCTCGACAGGAACGGAATTCGTCCAAAAAACCTTTAGTTGCCCCAATGCTAGCAAAATATCATCATGCAATGGCGGTTTGCTGCGTTCTGCCTGTCCTGCCCTTTCCTGGGGTCCGTATGCTGGGGCTTGAGAGAATTTGGGCTACAGAATGCCCTCTACCACGTGTCCAACTTGCTGGATTAGCATGTGTATAGCAGTTGTACTTGTTCCACTACAAGCAAGAAAATCAACAACACTATCATTGTGACTGCTCAGGTTTGCTAATGACCCTAAACCTACACCCTAAGCCCTAAGTTCAAGTCCTTGCATCAGCGCACGCTCCGTGGATTTACTGATGACTCTCATATGATACTGCGCAACTATTGCAAAGACCTTCAGCCAAGGCGTATAGCAGAGAATATAAGGTTCAGTATTGCAGCCATGAAAAGATTACACATATGGAGGAGCCTATCACCTGAAGACTCCTTAGAAAAACTTCTGGCAATCTCTCTGCGCATGCTTATATACATAGCCCACACAGTTTGCCATTCGCCTTCGTAGTATTGGCAGGCACTGTGAGCATCCTACTCGCGATGGCGATCTTGAATAGAATCCGCTGTCCCCAAGGGCAGATTGATTTATGCACAACTCGTTTTAGATTTGACTAGCTGTTGATACACTAAGTCCTGCATGACCTCACATACCAGAATGCCACCCGGCAAGCTGGCATTCGTCAAAACAGGGGTCCTCCCGATTGTAGGGACACCCAAAATGGTAGCTGTGTAGGTGATCGCCCCGATGGCCAGAAGGAAGCAAGCATCGGTATTTGGGGCTGTATATGTATATCTATTTATTCATTTATTCATTTACATATACATATGTGTGTGTGCGATGTTTTCCCCTGTATTGTTATTAGCGGATAGGGGAATCACGTATGTACCAATGCTTTCCGAATCCCTGGCCCTAAACCCTAAGCCCTGAACCGTGTGAGGGCCTTCAGCTTGATAGTTGCCACCTTACCATCTCTTCGCGCAGGGTCCACCAGCTCCTCATGCGCAGAAAAGCCCTGAGGGTCCAAGTAGCCAATAATTTTGCACTTGGGTTCTTTACAGTACTTGTCTATTTGCTGTACAGGTTTTGAGGGAAGTACACAATAAACCATTGAGGACTAAGGTTCTGGGGGTAATTCACGAGCTCGGACTCCAACCTTCGGGTTTGCTCCGGTTCACGGCGGTTGTGGTTCCAGATTGTCGAATGGTGTGAGGGCTGCATTATCTAAAGGCTTGGTAGTTGGAATGCCATGTTTGTGGTTGCATGTCTTGTGGCTTGTGGGTATGACTCTTCTGGCCCTTCCCCGTCTTGGAAGCTCCCACATTCCCAAGCCACGGTAGCTCCCCGTGTGTGTGCAGCCCACATTTCCCCAGACCCGACAAAAGATCCCAAAAAAGGAGCTTAAACCCCAAACCCCCTAAAGGATCCCAACAATGGAAAGCCCTTGTAATCCCCTAGCTTTTTTCATTTAGTTATGGGGTCAGTATTCGGGGGTTCGATTTCTTGGATCCTTTACGGGGTTTAAGTCAAGATTTGAAACAACCTGGTGCGAGCTTGGACATGGCAGCTGCCGAAATAGTAGGTTACAGGGATATGTAACTATAGGGTATGCAGAACCTGAAACCCATCAGTTAGGTAACCGGAGCCCTAGGGTATATGTTGGATGATGAAAGGATTTTGGTCCCCCCAAGCCCTCCAATAAGGACCCTCTCATATGACCCCGATAGAGGTCCTTATTATTGGGGTACCAACAATCGCCTGATTTTGGACGAAGGCAATCTTTAAGCCTTTCCAAATCAAGGACTTCTGAAGAGGCAGCCGTGGATATGAGCTGCAGCCGAGGTTATTGTGGCTACCACAGGTGTGGTAACGGGGTTTTCAAACCAGGGCCTACCGCCCAAGATCCTAGTGATATGTGGTCGTCTTCAGATCTTCGCGATCTCAAAAGTGCCAACAGTCACAGGGCTGGGCCCGCAGGAGAGGCCATATTCCTGACCGTCATCACTTCTGGCCACTTTCCAGTAGCTTGTCTCCAACCTTTAAACCCCAAAGAACACGGGGATTTAGCATGATAAGCCATCTTCATGGAGTGGAGGGGATTAAGAAGGGTTTAAGGTCTAGCGTTTTCAGGCCCGCTCACTGCGGCCCTACATGGCTAGCACAATGATTCGAAAAGGTTCTAGGTACAGCAGATGGAATAAGGCGAATATCAAAAGAGTACACACAAAACCTTCAGGCTTCCGCGCTACTCTAACCAACAAAACAAGGCCAGGAAACGGGCAGCGCCTTCCTAGAAAGTTGAAGGGGCCCCCTCTATAGGACCTAGCGGTCAAGGTGTGAAAGGAAAGGCCCAAATAAGCCTAAACCCTAAACCCCAAACCCTAACCCCCTAAACCCTTAACGCAAGGAAGCCGTTGAGTTGGCTGAATGCGAGTATACATGAAACTACCAAGGAAACTACGGTGAATACCAAAAAATCCTGCATGACCCAAGAAGTACCTTGCACCTTGGGAATTATGGTATTACAGCATACTAAGGTTATGCAGGGGTTCTACTATCAACCGTATTGCTGTAGAAGAGAGCTCCGCTGGAGCACCAGTATTGCAGGAGCCTGACTACTCACAAATATCATCTTGAGGTCTATCAGAGGTACAAGAAACCATGATTAACCCAGGAATCATAGTAACAATCCCTATAAAACTCCCACATAACCCCAGTTTACATGTCATTCTCCACTTCCCATTTGATTCTGGATTAGAATGAGAGAACGTGCCATATCCTCGTATAGGCAATGAATTAGGCCCCTATATTGTCCTCCTTTACCACGACCTACAGAGATGGATGGTAGCATCAATCGTCCTGTTTCCATCTTTCCATTCTCGGCTTTTACTGTGCAAGTAACCTGAAAGTCCAAACGCATTTTTCACTGCTATTTTATGGGATTTGATGGCTTAGGCTGAAAAATCTAATGAAATGAGTGGAAGTACGGTTTACAGTTCAGGGTTTTCAGGACGAACTAGGATGTTGGATAGGGATCCAGCCCTAAACCCTAAACGCTCATTCCAACTACCGCCAATGTCAAGTGTTGGCCTCATCATCGTGGTACATTGAATACGGTTAAACCCTGAACCCTAGACCCTAAACCCTAACCCTCATCAAAAACATCTATCGCTTGGGATGCAACGGTTTTGTTCCTAGTTGCCCGTGATCCCTTGAGCATCCTTGAGAAATGGATTCTAGTCTCTAGATCTCTATGCTAGACCCAATACGGTAGCTTCCCATATCATAACCTACATAATCTTTCAAGGGGACCACCAGAAATCCCCGCCATGATATGCCTTTGAACCGCAACTGAGACTTTGACAAAGGTGTCATCTGCCCCACCTGGATAGAACCTCAGGCACAGGGAGCACACTCCAAGGTTTCAGGCTTGAGGGTTTGGAGGCAGCAGCCAAACCTTTGCTTGAAGGGTCTTGGCGAGATGGGGGAGTACAAGGTTTGATCCCTGACCTATGCTGTTTGTTGCCATCCTTTGAAGCTGCAAGTAACCCCTTATGTGGGCCCTCCAATGTGTTGTTTTAAGGGTTGTCGATTTCAAGCAGACCACAAGACGCGAGAAGGTATAAACGCTTACGTAGGAAAGTCTAGGTAAACCCCATTATCCCTTCCGCCTCTGGACCTTAGGTCGCATGCCTGAACCCTTTGATAGTGCGCGCGGATACTTACAGAAATTGGAACAACATCTGCGAGGTCCCGGGTTACTTCAACCTACTTACAAGCTAGGTCGGACACCTCCTGTAGGTCTAGACAAGCCTCTAAACGCTAAAGCTTAAGCCCTAGCAGCTGCATGTCCTATCCAAGCTCAGATTCTGGTCTCGAGTATCCGGCTGATCGAAAGTGAGCTCCAACGTACCTCGGGCGGTCCGTCTTGACATGTGGGGGTTACCCCGTAGATGTCACAGGGTTTTATGTGTCTGGAATCCGTGTTCAGGTACCCGCAACAAGAGACCCCTCATTTCGGGTGGAGACCCTGCATGACCACCAGTAGGATGTAACGATAGCACAATCTACTCCGAAACCCTATTCTACAAGCAAAAATCTTACATGGAACAAGCACAGCCCCTTTTGCTTCAATGGATCCCACCAAAGACTCGTACTGACATTAATAGATGGGGTGCTACCATTGATGATTTTTGTTTGATCTTTAATTTTTGGAAGAAAATCACGAACACCCGTGTCCCGCAGGCAGTCCCAATTACCACATGGACGCATGCACTTGCTGCCTTCATGCAGATTGGAGGTAAAATTGCACCCTTCCCTCAAACTTGCCACAATGTGGCAATGGCCTGCTACAAATTCAAAGTTTGTCCACCCAACTTATACACGAAAAATGCCTTGAACATGACACCTTTTTTCCATGAAATGCAAGACCATCAACGTTCGCGTTGGCTACCTTTCTTCCCGTTGAAGCTGAGTTCCCAGAAGGGCTTTTCTTGGCATGCTCTTGGGATTTGACAAGTGCAGCCACAAAAATTCACGAGCTACACACAGCTATCCGCATCAACAAAAACTGCAGCGCCAATGCTATTCGCATTACAACTGCTGATTTTATTGACGCAATTCCTGAGCTTTACAAATGTCTTACTAATCGACCGCTTGATTCTCAATGGCATGTGCCAAGAGCTTCCGTTAACGCACCGTGGATGGACCTCGTCCTAGATCTCAGAAGGTCCCCATTCCAATTACCTAGTTCCCTCAGCTGCATTACTGAACTGCCTCTTGAAAGCTGGCAAGATACGTCGCCTCAGGACATTAAAAGTAAACTACCAGGTGTACCCGGTCCTAAAAGCGTCTTGTCGCGGCAAAGAAACGAATTCTTAGATTCCAATCCGCAATGCCTACTGTGCAGCGTCTTGAATTCCTTGGCGCAGCTACAACACCTCATATTGTAGCCCCTGCTTGGCAAAACAATGATAGGTGCTTTTGCTGCCAAAAACTTCTTCATTGCTCTGTGGAACCACGTAACCTTTCGCGCGATTGTTCCAACACGCATGACGTTCCCTCATCACTCTTTCTTGAATGGGAACAAAAATTCAAAAATATGATTCATTCTCTTGAACGCATCATTTCCAAATTCTGAGCAAAATGCCTCTTTGCTACTTGACTAGTTGTACTTGATTGTATATCTTCATTAACTGAATGCACCAAGCATTCTCATCTTGCACATAAATTTCTGGTAGAAGTGTCCGAACTGCTTTCAGCATATGCTAATCAGAATCAGAAGAAGCTCTGCTTGAAAAGGCAGTGATTTTTGTGGCCTGGTTGAAGAGAACGGTATAGACAGCCAAGCCCCCATGCAGAAGCCCGCTTCAACAGTAGCTAAGATACCTGAGCACATATTGAGGAAGCAGCAGCAACGGCAGACTTTCAGCCATGCAATCCTAGCCACTTTCAGCAGGATCCACGTTGAACGTTATCCAGAAAGTATACTCCTCCAATCTTTAACTTCTTCCATACATAGCGCTGGAACACTTGTCTTGAGACCTCGATGTCGAACCCGCAACTACCGTGATGGGATGATTGCTACCCTAAGACCCTGTACTATCCAAAACCCAAGTCAATCTCGTTCGTTGCACTTTCAGAACTTGGGCCAAGGCCCAGGAGATCGTCAGACCTGAGATTCTGCGGCTTGGCGTCTGGGGTCTAGGGCTGAAAAAATGGCGCCATGAAGTTTTTTTGAGGAATTTACAGGGGCAATTCGGGTCTGGGGTTCAGGGTTGAGCAATTCAAACTTGTGAACCTCCAAGCAAAGGCCAGATGTTACAACGTGCCGAAGACAATCTGAAGCAGCAGACCCTTAAGCCCTTGACCATGTGGACGCAAGCATCTCTAAACCATCCATCCTTCACGCGACCTTTTGTTGGAAAAGGTTCGAATGGCCAGATTTGCAAGAAAGGTTTCCAAGGGAATGATAGATACCAGCTCCTAAATCATGAGCTCATTCTACAGTAGCAGTTTCATCTGGCTAGTTGCAGGCGGAGAAAAACATGGTTACAAACATTCTAGGTGTGACATGAACAATTCAGGGCTGCAAAGGGGAGAGATAAGGAAAACCAAGGGTTCCTCTACTAATCCTCGTCCCCTAACAATAACGCCTTGCCCCAAGTATTAAATAGTCCCGAAGCGTTATACCATACCATAAGGGGGTGGAGGGCCTGATATTAGGGGGAGGAGATTACTCATTTAGCGAATCCCGAACACAATCCGGACATGTCCATGTCCTCTTGGGACCGTTAGTGTTTGTAACTGGTTGAGGTTTGCATTTTCCCGATTCTCACTTGCTCTCTGGAGCCTGCAACATGATTCTCCTGCAAAATGCGTCTCAACAGACTACAATGTTTTTGGGGGCTAGCCTTTGGGCCCCTGGGACTTAGGGCTCCATTGTTGGGACATTCATTTCTCTATTTGACGTTCGGCGCACCATGCAATCCCAAATGCTCGCTGTTTCAAACCACCAGACCTTCACTAGGCTCAGGACGTGCGAGGACTTGAATTTTATGCTCTCTTTTTGGCGTCCTAGAATCTAAATGAGGACCGTGCTATCCTTGGGTATCCCACTGGGCCTGACGTCCGAGCTACTGATGGTCACCGATTTCCTGGACTCCGAAAGTTAATGGTGTATATCTAGTATAATCCAAAATTACTCACTCACTAAGAAACTGAGAAAGTTCTGCACCAACCCCACATCCGAGGTTTCTCGAACCCAGACTCAGCTCAAACGGTTAAGGGTAAATTGCACGACAGCTGATGAGATTTCCACATTTCAAGCATACAGCTATTGCGAATGTACAAGAACTCTCGAGCAAACTATTCTATCCCCCACGGTTCAGGGAACTGCATTCGGAGGAACCCGTTGTACTGGTGGGGTGCCCTAACCAAACCCCTAAAGGCTCTCCCCGTAGATTAGGGTTGTTTATGGATAGGTAAGGCTAATTAAGGCTAATTCAGGTGCCTTGGGAGGAGTTTAGGCTGGGTGTAAGGAGGAGGAGTGTTAAGATTGGCAAGACGGGAGTATCAGTTGCAATCAAGGCCGAAAAAAATAGCACCAAGCAAAGAACTTATAGGGCTAAGGGTCAGCCTCAACCAAACTTCTGGGCACCACAAGTCTTTTGCTATGGTGAACACAAGTTTTGCGGGTAAGTTCCACACCAAAACTGCCACACCCTAAAATGCCCGGACCAGAAGACATAGAAGCCTGAGTCGTTACCGCTATAATTTCTAGACCTATGTTCGGCAACCTAAACCACAAAGATACACGGATTCTAGGACCATAAGGTCGGTATGTAGACCTTTTGTTTGGTTCTGAACCTCCCAAAGCCCTGAACTTGAGGCTCGGACCCGATAGCATCGTAGTCAAAGACTTGGAACTCCAAGGTGTCGCTCGTTTTCTGGCGGCATGATGCTTCACCCAAATGTGCTTTGGCGACTTTTCCAAACTAGGCCTTTTTTGCGCGGGACTGCAAGATTGGGGCGTTCACTATAAAGAAGCTGCCTCCTCAAACCATAGATTCTCCCTCCCTGTCCCAATGATAATCATCCTAATGCAACTCCAACATAGGAATTGACAGCTCTGAGCAGTTGAGGGCTTAGGGTTTCGAGAGACTCGCCCTCTGCGCCAGCTCCGGTGGCGCAGACCCTGGCACGAATAATGCGCATGTCCCTGCAAGAGAAGATAAGCACTCGTTGCGTACTTTCAGAACATTCGTAAAAGAAACTCATGCATCACACCAGCCCCGACAGGGAATGGATCCTAGTACTAGTAGTAGTAGTAGTAGTAGTAGTAGTAATACTAACTAATATTATGATTAATAGTCGTAGTTCTAGTAATAGTACGCAATAGTCAGCGCTTCGCTCTTACTTGACGCTAGGTTTTCGGAGCACCCAGCAGTAGAAAACGTTGGTAGGCGCCATGAATTTGAAGAGCAGTGCAGTGTTGAGTTGGGCGCCGGAAATCTGCATTTGTTTATGCTGCAGAATTCATTAGACGCCTGAAAACGCAGCGGGGAAGTGCTGGCCGTGCTGCGAGAGACAAGTGCGGCGTTCGCAGCATTTCCCAGCTGCGCCTTCACGTGTCTGATGAGCTCCGCAGCATAGCTACGGCGCGTCTCTTGCTTGTGGCCCGTCAGCCCACAAAGACAAGATCCTTCGCTTGAGGCATCCTAGACTATTCACTTTTTAGCCAAAAAATGCAAAGATGAAATCCATGTTTTGCGTGAAGCATGCCAGAAACTTCAACTCTTACCCAAACAATTTGAAAGACGACGACGCTGCTTGCCCTGAAAAAATGTAACCCCAAAGGTCCCGTGCACTAGCCGCCGAGCCGCTACTAGCCCTAGATTGAGACTAACAAGAAGGGTCCCCATATTGGCCATACTTACCCCTAAAAACCTGTATCATGCTAGCCTTGAAAACCTATTAGCAGAGACAGTTCCCAAAAAACACCGTCAAATCTGGCGTGGCACAATTGCCATGATTCATCATAACAACCAGAATTGTGAACAGAAACATTATCATTCAAAGCACAGAAATGCTGTAAATAGCAGTAGATAAGAGGCTTCATGGGATGGTCCCCCCCACAGATCTAAAAGTTGCTCAACAAGACGGGTCCCCTTGTGAACCTTGAAAAACTGCAGCTAGAAGGGCCTGAACATGGACTGAGAAAATTGACGTTCACAGCTGCGTGCAATCATCATGGCAACCATCATTGTTGTCGACATTGCGAAGCTTCAGAGACACGAAATACTGCAAATATCAGAGGCCTGGTCAAATTACGAAAATCATGTCAGCATATCTGGTTGCAACCATCATGCGCATGATCATCATGCCTGTGCGTGTGGTGTGTTTTGTCCGCTTCGGCGCCCAGGTCTCCATGGTAGGTTGTCGTGAAGCCCACACGCGCAATGACTTTTTAGCGCAGGCACGCACATTTCTGCCTGGGCCCCGCAGGCCCAAGCAGCATTATTCATCCCCTTTGCGCAACTTGGGCGCAAAAAAACCTTAGGGGAGGGCGGGTGGGCGAACAAGCTGCCCACAGCTATGAGAAATAAAGTCACATGCGCACGTGGCTTTTGAGTGTGCTGCAAGTGTTCGCAAACATCACAGTGCGAGTTTCATGGCAGCCAGGAAATACTGCAAACACCAATGGATTTGCGGCTAGCGTCATTTGTGATTCTTGAGGAAGATTCAGAAATGTGGCGTCAAACAAATACGGAACACGTAGTCGCCGTCGTCGTCGTCGTCGTCGCAATCAGCAGCAGCGGCAGCGGCGGCGGCAGCAGCAACAGTAGCAGCAGCAGCGGTCGGGTTCGAGGTGGTGGAGGTGGAGGTGGTGGAGGTG